ACAATATAGTATGTTTATGCTTATAATTATGATGCTATTATTATTATTATGTTGAATAAACATTTCATTTCTCTTTACTGTAATATCTTGTAGTTAAAACATTTTAGCCTTTCCGTGATTCATTATTTAGACTCTGCTAAACAAAATTATTGTTTTGTGGGATTGGCAACAATGTCACTCGAGCATTCATGCCAGTAAACCATTAATATAATAATAGCTGAATGCGGAATCTTCACTCACTGGTGGAGCGCTGCGAGGAGAGCTGCAGGCAGAGAAAGAAAGAGAGATTGAAAAATGGAGACAGAATGATAGAGATTGATGAAGTGAGTCCAAATGATTGCCAGTTGTCACCTAGACACAGACCCTAATGGACTAATCATACAGCATATGACAGTGGCATAAACACACACACGCACACTCACACACACACACACACACACTTCAGTCCTGCTATGTTGTCTATAAGTACATCAGACAGATGGTTATTATCTGTCTCTCTCAGAGTCTACTGTCATTCCTTGTGTATACCTGGACAAAAAGCTCCTGGATTTAACTAATGACCACGACACATGGAGGAAAGACAGGAACACCCAGCTCAAAACGACGTCTGATCACGCCTACATCCTTACTTGACCTTTTGTGTTCAACTTGCAGAGCAGCTTAAAAATTTCCTCTCACACTTTAAGGTGTTCTACAAAACATTAGCCTCAACTCCCCTTAGTTACTGTTGCTAGGTCTGAAAGAACATCCCATAGGACTGTTTTTTTTTTTTTTTTGTAAAATTAGCTTATTAACTGGTAAAAAAAATGATCAGCCATTTAAAAAAAAAATGTTGAATGACAAAATTATGAATGAGACTTACTGTAATCAAGCATGTAGTTGACTGATAAAGGGGCACGGCTTTAAGTGAACTAAATGACTGGAGAAGTGGAAGGTTGAGTTCTGACAATTCAAAATGATGAGGTCAAAAAATGTTTTAAAAATGAAATGCATTAAAAAAATAGAATGAATTTTCATTTAATTCAAGACAAACTATTTCCTTTTATAGAAAAACTACATAATTAAAATAGCAAATGTATTAACTCCGTCAAGGTTATGAAAGAATGGTCTACTCAACATTTACTGAACAATTGCTAAGACAATTAGTTATCAAGATTGTATCCTAATTAGTGTTTAATGTATGTTCATTTTAATGCATATTTGCTGACCATGTGGCTTCCTAATCATACTGCATTTGTGCTAAGAGATATAAGAGGAAGTAGCAGCAGGTTATCAGTGAGCTTGGGCCAGCTCTCCTCGTTTATGAAATTGCTATATTTTCCAGCTTGTACATTGGGTTGCATTGGTTATGGTTTGTGGTGGCAATTATGACTTCCTGTTCTGATGCTATAAACAGCACAAACCCCTAAACAGACTTAAAATCTATAGAAAAATAATTTTAAACAATGAAAAACTACATAATTAAAATAGCAAATGTATTAACTCCGTCAAGGTTATGAAAGAATGGTCTACTCAACATTTACTGAACAATTGCTAAGACAATTAGTTATCAAGATTGTATCCTAATTAGTGTTTAATGTATGTTCATTTTAATGCATATTTGCTGACCATGTGGCTTCCTAATCATACTGCATTTGTGCTAAGAGATATAAGAGGAAGTAGCAGCAGGTTATCAGTGAGCTTGGGCCAGCTCTCCTCGTTTATGAAATTGCTATATTTTCCAGCTTGTACATTGGGTTGCATTGGTTATGGTTTGTGGTGGCAATTATGACTTCCTGTTCTGATTCTATAAACAGCACAAACCCCTAAACAGACTTAAAATCACCATCTATAGAAAAATAATTTTAAACAATGGGGGGGGAACAATTTTAAACAATGCTCACAGCAGCTTCCCTAATCCCATTCTCTACCTTCCCATCACTCTTTCCTTGTTTTTCACTCTCTCTCTCTCTGTTGATATCAGGTCCACAAGGTGATGATCTGTTTCCAGCTCTTGCCAGACAGGAGTCTCCAAGAGGATATCCCTCTCATTACACACACAGTGTGCAGATGCAGACACACAACACTCGACATCACTAGAACTCTCCCCAGGAGAACCTGATGAAAAAGGAGAGAATATAACTGCTATACTGAGACGAATTAGGGAGGGCAAGGACAACAGAAAGGGTGAGTGAACAAAAAAAAAAAGATAAGAAATAAAACAAAGCTTTGTTTTAGAAGCAAAAAACAATTAGTTGTTCCTTACTTATATATATATATATATATATATATATATATATATATATACAAAGAAAAAAGATATTTTATATTCTTGTAAAAAAATTTTTTACTCAATTACAATGAATGGTGAGCAGAGCTTTCAGGGTTCAAAAAGGCAGAAAAAACACCATTAAGTATTTCATAAAGGAGGTCCATATAACTCTTGCACTATATTCCAAGTCATCTGAAGCCATTCAAAAGCTTTTTGGAGAAACAGATTTTGCATCCGTTTATAACCTTGAAAGCTCTGGACCCTTTTGTAACTGCACGGAGCGATCGGTACATTATGAAAACTTTCTTCTTTTGTGTTGCACAGAAGCAGTCCTACAGGTTTGGAAGGGCATGAGGGTGAGTGAAGGATAACAGAATTTTCAATTTTGGGGCAATTATTCCTCTAAAAGGACAGAATAATCATAAATCGGACTGAGAGGGTACTGGAAAGACAATGAAATGAATGGAGAGGGTGAAAAAAAACTGACAGAGAGAGAAAGAACGACACAGAAAAAGAGAGAGCAAACTGAATTGTCCTCATCGTTCAGTTCTTGGCAGTACATTCCCTCAGGTTACAAGAAAGCCAGAGAAGAGAGGGAAACAGAGACTCACAGACACTAAAGCTAATATAATGTTTTGCTTCCTTTTGTTTTTATTGTCTGACATTTTTCCCTTCCCCCTTGTTTTTTTTCCCTACTCTGAACAGGAGCTGCACCTCTGACATACATTGATTTTTGGAAGAACAGACAGATGAGATGCACTGTAGGAATGCAGCCAGGAAAGCGGGAGAGGAATGGGATATGGGAGACGAGAGGGAGAGAGACAGATTTTGTTTGGTGAAAGCAAGACGAATCATCCAGAAGTGGAGGATCGTTAATGCCAGGCACCGGCGTATAGACACAAGAAGCAGGAATAGGTCAAAACTGAGATGAAAGGTCAAACAAGGTAACCTCTATTTATTCTTAAGTGACTACAAAGGGCATTTTGGGCTTCAAAATTGATGCATCAGCTAGAAAAGAGGTCTTCAAGGCCAAGAACCTTTGAAGGACAGAGATTCCAAGGACCCTGTTACAAACCGTGTGTTTATTTTAGCCTGGCCTATAACACAGCGTATCGTATCACATTGATGAATATTCATATGATGATTCTTACAATGATTATTTTAATAACTTTTCAATATTGATGTACAAATTTGTATATTTTCAGTCAAATGTAATATGCAACGTACTTTTGAACTTTGGAGGTACAATAAAACATTTAGCAAAATTTAGCTTCTTAACTGCAGCTTTGATTGAAGTTAAACCAATACTGTATTTTTGTTCATCCCATATTTTCATGTTCAAATTAAAAATTCTAAAAAATAATTGGTAGACCCCTGCTGTACTACTGCAGAACCCCTGTTGAAACCCCCCTAAGCCAGTGGTAGCCAACCTGTCGATCACTTAGATCTTTATCACTGTCCCAGTAGCTCCCGACAACAACAGAAAAATAAGTACAAAAAATGTATTACATTTCTTCACTCATTGTACTGTATTTTTGTACTTATTTTTCTGTTTCTTCAGGAGCTACTAGGAAAGTTATAAAGAAAAATACATCACGAGTCTGTAAACAGAACAGTTGAGATGCTGAAGACGGACGTAAAGAGGAAAATATACTGTAGCAGGCAGAGCAGCTCACTGTTCACTTTGGGCGAAATATAGGAAAAAATCTTAAATTCTGGGGGGTGAAGGGTTACATGAATGTATCACTGAAGGGATATATTTATTAGCACAACCAAGAAAATGCCATATCGCTGCTGTTCCATAAGCGCCACCTGCTGTCAGAGAGTGAAATTTGCATTTCATTCAGCCCGTCTGCTGTTTTTGTATCATGCAGGTACTGTATGTATCTGAATCCGCCATGAAAAATAATGATCGGTGCATCGCTAATTAAAATACTAAATAAAAGGCATCAAATTGGAAGTACAATCTGGGCTGTCTTTTTCTATCAATTCTTCTATAGGTAGATCTTGTCTTTCATAAAAGCCGAGGTCAGGGATCATGGGCTTAAAAAGGTTGGTGACCACTGCCCTAAGCTATAACGTGCACACTCAAGATGTTTTTTTTAGACACTGTAACTAGATTATTTTATATTTTCTGAAAAAAAAAAAAAAAACAAGTGAGAAGTGTTCTCTGTGGTTGTTTGTTTGTTGCCATGTGGTTGCTAGAACATCTCTAGTTTCTAGCTGCTTACTGCCCAGGGGCTTCAGATACCTCATTCAATACAAGTCTATGACATTTTTGCAAAAATCACAGATCACTTCGAAAAGTAGCAACATATCCTAAAACAAACCCCTAAGCCGAAACAGTGATGCTTGCCTTAGTATAATAAATGTTTAGCAAAAACCTGTAAATCTGTAAGAAACTCTGAAGTCATATATCATTAACGCATTATCTGATATAAAAATGACCTGCAGAAGTCACACACACACCCTATAATCACAACAAAAGGGCATCATGGATGAATAATTATTCTGTTATCGAGTTCTGATATCATCAGTTTATTTGTAACATCTACCAACCAGGATAGAGGCCAAACATTTTTCAACAGTCCTTCTTTTGGCTATACAAATTATATTTTGAATTGTTATGAGAAGCTGAGTATTGTTCAAGTTTCTCATCTCTAAAGACCAACACTTTTTCTGCTCAAGTCCAAAAGTTACTTTCAGAACTAAATTTAAACTCAACTCCACACAATTGAAAGTGTCTTACCTGACAGCGACACACACACCATCCTGCCAGTGTCATCTCAGGATCGATTGGTCATATGGCAATTCTCCATCAGGCCATTCCTCTGATCTGCACAAGCCTAGCCTGACACAAAAAGAGCACAAATTTACCATAAGTCACTTGGGTATATTTTTAGCAATAGCCAAAAAAACATTGTATGGGTCAAAATTATAGATTTTTCTTTTATGCCAAAAATCATTACGATATTAAGTAAAGATCATGTTCCATGAAGATATTTTGTAAATGTCTTACCGTAAATATATCAAACCTTTTTTTGATTAGTAATATGCATTGCTAAGGACTTCATTTGGATAACTTTAAAGGTGATTTTCTCAATATTTAGATTTTTTTTGCACCCTCAGATTCCAGATTTACAAATAGTTGTATCTCGGCCAAATATTGTCCTATCGTAACAAACCATACATCAATGGAAGGCTTATTTATTCAGCTTTCAGATGATGATTTAAAAAAACTGACCCTTATGACTGGTCTTGTGGTCCAGGGCCACAATTGTCTTTTTTACACAAAAGTAGAGCAAGCACCTTGCAGCTGTGGAGGAATGGTTGTAATGAGTCCATCTGGATAGCAGTCACAAGGCTGCAGGGTGAACAGGATTCTGAAGTGTTTGAGAAAACACACACGATTAAGTATGTGCACACAAACACACTCTATAGAGCTAACAAACACTCATAGGTCTGCTCGAGAGCGTGCACACTCAGTTATCAATCACACACACGTCTCTAATAGTGCAGACAAACAAATGTCAGAGCTGACAGCAGCATGGTCGGGTTACTCATCCATCAGACAAATAATGCACTGCTTCACAGATCAGATACCTGAATGAGAACCCTTCAATGGTTCCTACAACTTGAAATCTAAAGCATTCAATTATTCTGATGGATTCTTGATCTTAAAGGAGGTTTGATTCAAATTGTGCTGCATGTATAAAAGCTCTGTAAGCATATAGCTGCCTCCTGTAAATGTAAATCATTCACATACACACATATATTATTCATTCACAAGAAGACCAGTAGGATGCATTAAGCAAATACATAGGGTAAGTTTTGCTTTCATGCCAACTTTAAATCCATTATTTATTTATTTTTTTTTTCTCCAGCAGCATATATGTTTAAATACAGATAAAATTACTTTATTAATTAAATTACCAATGCATTATTATTACTATTATGGTATTTGTATATACTAAGCCACTGTGCATGTGTGTGTGTGTGTGTGTGTGTGTGTATATATATATATATATATATACGTACACCAGATTATTACATTTTTTATATAACACATAAAACATACATCACAAATGTTTCCTCAACCTGACACATGAAAACCAGGCCAGAGTAAGAGAAAATAAGCATTTATGTAATTGTGAAAGCTTCCCCTCTGTGACCACCAGCCTCAGTCTCCCATATAAACAGCCTATACTGCACTGTTTAACATTTGCAACCTGCTATATATAAGACAAGTAGTTTTTTTTTTGTTTTTTTTTGACAGATTGCAACACACAGCAGGAGACTTCAAGTAACCACACATTTTATTTCTATGTGCTAAAAAAGGAAAGGAAAAAATGTGTAACAGTTTATTTATATATGTTCTTTTAATCTCCAAAACAACCAGATTCTCTGTTAAAAAAAATAAATAAAAAAGAAAAAGAAAGAAAGAAACAGCTGACTCTGCTGAGTAAAAATTGGAGAAAGATGTAAAGATGTCTACTTTAATGACAGATTGATACAAAAACAAACATATAAAATACGAATCTATTTGAGCTCTGTACAAGTAGACATAAAACACAAACCCTTCTTCTCAAAGACCCAGAGGGAGCTGAGAGACAGTTTTGCATACGAGAGCAGAACCACAGTTCCCATGTGGCATTGACAGAGCGCCATCTGCTGGTGACAGCAAACAAGCCACGACCTCCCATCAGTAACAGACACTGCTACTGATTGATAACTAAAAATTGGTGAAAATACGACTGATGAACTCATTGTTAACAGACGTCCCTATTAAATTAAATTTATCCAAGAAACTATTTTTTTTCCAATATTGATTTTAAAAATAGAATTGATATAATAAAATTGATTAGCCTATATTAGTTATGCTTGTAGTATTATAATAGTATGCTGCATTAACAGAATCATCGGCGAAATATAATACTAAACTTAAACCAAGGTCTTGAGAGTTTACTGCCTTCTTACAGTATACAGTCCCTCAGTGACCCAGATGTGCTGACAGGTGAATGAATCCATATTCAAAACAGTCCTTGCTGGGTCTCACTCTCATTCACTAATAGTGTGTGTGTGTGTGTGTGTGTACCTGGTATTTATCACGTTATGGGGACCAAATGTCCCCACAAGGATAGTAATACTAGTAAATTTTGACCTTGTGGGGACATTTTTGAGATCCCCATGAGGAAACAAGCTTATAAATCATACAGAATGAGTTTTTTTGAGAAAGTAAAAATGCACAAAGTTTCCAGTAAGGGGTAGGGTTGGTGTAGGGCAATAGCACATACAGTTTGTACAGTATAAACACCATTACGCCAATGGAATGTCCCCATAAAACATGGAAACACAACGTGTGTGTGTGTGTGTGTCAGCGTAAATGTGTTCTTACCTTCGTTTAAATGTTTGATGAATATGGAGTGTTTTAAAAGAGGAAGCGCGTGCCCGCCGTTATTAATTAGCAAAACTTGGGCGTCACGATGGCCTCGAGCTCCGAATGATTTTGTCTGGAACAGCCAGGGAGTTGAATGCAACACTAGTGGGAGTTAACTGGATACATGTTGGTTGATGTACCTCAGTCATCGTCTGGAATTATGATGGGTGGTTAATAACTGCTGGTTAATAATTATATTGCTCTTCGCACACTGCAACACTACCGATTAGCATAGGCGGCGCTAGGGGTGGGGCCATAGAGGCAGCGGTCCAAGCTAAATTCTGATTGGCTCAGTACACCGGTCCTGGAAAATTATTGGTTAAGAGAAGCCCAACACGTCTGTCGCGAGCATGTTCATTTACTCGCGCTATAACAAATATATACACAACAGACAAGATAGACAAAATAATTGTGCACAAAATAATCTACAGATAAAATTATGCAAGGGAACATTATTAATAACTTAATTTATTATTAAAAATAATAGATTATATGTATTTCATTATATCATATTGATTACTAACCTTTGTTGCCGTCTAGTTTTTGTTTTTGTTTTTTGTTTTTTTTACTGGCTTGAAAAGAAATGGAAAGTACAACTGACCTTCCTTCAGTGAAATGCAATTGCAAATCGAAGCATCGAGACTAGTGCTATCAATCAATTAAAAAAATAGCTATTTAATTGCAATTATTTTTTTTGTATGAATCGCGATTAATCCCACCTAACATTAGTTTTTTTTATATATATATACTTTAATATTGCAATAATGTCACATTCAATCTTCAAATTAATGTAGAAACAACATACAGCCAGTATATGTTTAATATTTGTTTAATGGCATCTTTAAGTGAACTTAAAACAATCTTAACATAAACCCATTATAATAAATGTCATATCTATTCACTTTATTATACACATATACATGTGCCCTTCAGCAGGTAGGACATACTGCATACAGAAAACACTACATTTTAAATTAAATATAGATGAATCCTACAAAAGTTACAGATCTGACACGCATTGTATTTTCTCACAACTCTTTACCTTTTCTTACCCACTTCAGGTCTTAAAGTCTCTACTAATGAGCTGACGAGTTGAATCGGGTGTGTTAGATGAGGGAGACAGTGCTGGGCTGCAACAGGACAGTTTTGAAAACCACTGCATTTCAGAGACATGTTCTTAAATCTGACCCATAACAAATACTTACATGCATGCACAGTTTTAAGGCAGCTTTAATTGCCTTTTGGGTAACTTCATGACTTAACTGACGACATAACTACGATATTGCATGCTCATAGTTTTTTTTTTGCGCTTTAAGTGAAAGTGAAAGTGAAGTGACATGTGGCCAAGTATGGTGACCCATACTCGGAATTAGTGCTCTGCATTTACCCATCCAAAGTGCACACACACAGCAATGAACACACACAAACCGTGAACACACACCCGGAGCAGTGGGCAGCCATTTATGCTGCGGCGCCCGGGGAGCAGTTGGGGGTTCGGTGCCTTGCTCAAGGGCAACTCAGTCGTGGTATTGAAGGTGGGAGAGAGCGCTGTACATTCACTCCCCACACCTACAATCCCTGCCGGTACGAGACTCAAACCCACAACCTTTGGGTTATGAGTCCGACTCTCTAACCATTAGGCCACGACTTCCCCAATAGCCTTAATAGCCTATATGAAATGATATACAATGCGCATTGCCCATTTCATGCAATTGAAGAGCACGTGCTACGAGTAGAGTATAACTGCTGACAGGACAGTAACGTTTTTTACTGACATATGGCCTAACAACATCTCATCTGTTTACTGTTGTTCTACTAAAGCTTCCTCGTCACCTGTACCTTTTCCGCGTACGTCTGACTAGCGCCTGGTGCTGATCGAGGCAAAGTTGGAGTGTCTTAAGTCTCCTGTTTGATGTAGTCATAAAGACGCATGCGTCTAAATAAATGCAATTCTTGTCAAGAAAAAATAAACAGAGAAATATTTTAACGCGTTAAACTGAAAAAATGAATGGCATGCGTTAACACTCTAATTTTGACAGCACTAATCGAGACACATGTTAAATCCTAGGTGTAAACCAATCTATTTTGGCTGACACCAAGACAGATGCTAATACCAGGTGTAAACAGGGCCTCAGTCGTCTTCTCACTGTCCCTGTTTTTGCTTCCATCCTCTCACTATTCCTGTCTGGCTGTGTTCTCACACCATCTCTAGGGAGACCATGTATGTGTGGAGTGTTTTGATATGCGAATTCATTTCCCTAGTTCCAGTCAGCACAGGGAGCACATATATCCTCCCTAATATGTACTGTGTATTATCCTCCACGGGGCCCCCGTAGGCCTCCATGGTAATTTCCATAGTGAATTTATCAAACACGACAGAGAAAAGAAAAGGATAAAGTCAATTCATTAGCCAGATATGATGACAAATACCTCTACACTGAAAGAGAGGGAAATTCTCATTAAAAGCTCAGGTGTGTGTGACTGAACTGGATGAGTAAAGAGAGATGTATACCGACCGTCCTGTTTTTGGTTACTCATAACTCTGTACACTACTGAATTTTCAGCAGCCATTCAAGTCTTCAGTGTCACATAATCCTTCAGAAATCATTCTAATATGCTGAATTGGTGCTCAATTATTATAAATTATTGGTGCTCAGTTATTAATAAACATTCTTAATATCCTTCAGAAATCATTCTAATATGCTGAATTGGTGCTCAATTATTATAAATTATTGGTGCTCAGTTATTAATAAACATTCTTAATATCCTTCAGAAATCATTCTAATATGCTGAATTGGTGCTCAATTATTATAAATTATTGGTGCTCAGTTATTAATAAACATTCTTAATATCCTTCAGAAATCATTCTAATATGCTGACTTGGTGCTCAAGAAACCTCTCTTATTATTATCAATGTAGAAAACTGTTTGGATTTTTTTTTTTTAGCCTTTCATTTGGGTGTAAAAATACATTGATGCAAAAATAATGGAATAAATATTCCATAGTTGTTGTTGATAAGGCATTCCATTACAATGCCCCACAAATAATCCTCACTTATAAATTGTAACTGCTACAACACCAAATATATTGTGAATTTTATGATCACAGTTTGGAAAAAATATATGCATCTTACCAAGGTAATCGAATCAAATCAGACTCAGTCCTGACCAGAGTCCAGTTTTTGTGATGCTTCACATCATTTAGTGAAAAATCTAATCTGAATTGAATTGTTGTCAAAGCAAACCATTTGCATCCTATTGGATCGTGAACAATTTCTCAGAGTATGGGTACAACGACATCTGACTGTAAACGAAAGAAAAGCACAAATTAACCGTTTATGAAGTTTATGAAATTATAGTGCACGTAAAATTTCCATTACACACTCCATTATGCAAATAGTGCTTCAGTAAATATGATTCTGTAATGTGGCATTAATCTCTTTTATGCATGCCCATGAAGCACATTACCAAACATTAATAGCACCGATTCAAGATTCACAACATGTGACCTCTCTCTCTTTCTGTCACTGTCCCCCCCCCCCCAGTCT